GATTTATTTCCTCTTTCCCAGCTCTAATCCTGCTTCTTATTTTAAAACCTCTCCTTCCTGTTTTGTAGAAGTAATCAAAGACAGGAAATTATGAAAAGGGGGTAGCTTTTGAGACTGAGGTGGTCCCTTAATTTTTGACTACCAAAGCCTCAGCTAAGTATAGTTGGAGAAAAGAGTTGGGAACCATTGATTTAAACCCATTCTTTATCTTTTTTGTCCCCAACTTTTAGCCTTCCTCTTCTCCTATCTGTTCTTCTAGTCTAACACTAACTGATGTGCTAGACTTTTACAACTCAGGAGACAATCGAAGATAAGAGTCAAACCAGTCTTGGGGCTGTCACTCAAATTCTGTGATAGGCTTTGCAGATACAGATGTGATTTTGCTGTTCCCAGTAAAGGAATATATGAATTCTGGGGTAAAATGAACTAAGATATTCGGTTACCCATTTAAAAACCAATGGGTTATTTTAGAAACTCACACCTCCACTTGATAGCGGAGATATCTGCTAAGTCTCTGAATAAGATGAAAGTTCTAGGTAGAATAGTCCTAAATTAGAAAAACACAGAGTTTGTTAAAAATGCCCATGCGCGTTTTATTAATAAAAACTAACAGTGCCAAGGTTAAACAAGTCAAACAATTAAAGTCTCTTTATATTCCATAAAATATTACAGAAAAGTTTATTTGTGTTTCAATAAAAAGACTACTGTCTTAGATAGGCAGCTGACAGTATTTGTGCAGTTAAATGTTTTGTGAATAAATTTTTAAAAGACTACCACCTGCCCTGAAATTTGTTTTATAAAAATGAACTATTAAAAATGATTGACAATTTTGAGTTAAAAAACTTAAAACATTCTCTATATTTAATTTCAACTTTATAATAGATTACAGGAAGATGCTTATGAAACAAATACAAACATTTGTTTCAGTACATGTTTTTATATGATAGACTTATAAGTATGTAAACAACTATATAATAAAAAGTTTCCAAAGTCTGCCTGTAAGAAATCAGGCAATTTTTACCATAAGCAATAACTCATTCCAAACCCTCAAGACATTAATAGCTGCATCAGCTGGCAGTAAACATTTGCCAAAACTTTGTAATTCATATGTTCCAACGTACAGTGAAAACAGCATATAAACTTGATGGAATCATGTTAGATATTGAGGAAAAATAAATTCACAATAATATTTCTGGAATTTAACATGTAAAAAAGTAAGATGATCTTGTTTGGTTCTTTGGACACTGCATGATTAACAAAAAACCCTCAACTACTACATGAGCTTGCCATCCCTCAACAAAGGGTATCCTCAAAATACACTCCAAACTTATGGCCATTCAGTGTATCCATTTTTCATAGAAAGACAGCATTTTATTTCTTCATTCATGTGGCTACGTTTTCTTTAGCAAACTTAGCAATAACATTTGTGGCAAAATGCATTTTCCTTCAAGTACAAAAAAAGGAGCAAATAATAAAGGCTCTGCATTAACACACTGGTATCAAAACACACATCCACACCACATTTAAAAATATCCTACATAAAACAATCCTTATTTGCTTATCCGAGGTGCAATTTCTAAACTTAGAACTGCTTACCAATATTTTCCTTGTGGGACGGGGCAAAATATATATATATATTTTTTTTTTGAGAGAGAGAAAGAAAAAGATAAAAGAGAGTGTGCACTCACATGCACACTCTCCCTAGAACAATTTTATTCCTGAAAAGTCTACAATCAGAAAGGATCAGTCATCATCATCATTTTCATTAAAGTCATCATCCTCATCATCATCATCTCCAACATACGAGACTGGCGTTTCAACTCTTGAGCCACTGTATTGAGATCCATTGGAACTTGTGGCTAACATCCCATCTCCACCATTGCTGAAGTCACTGAAGGAGGAAATTAAATTTTAAAAAAGTGAGAAATGATAAACTAACTTATAATTGAGGTGTTACACTTAATGAAACTTTCAGCATTTCAAGGAATTAGTCATCAAGGCTTTTATTTATCACTCTCCCATCTACTTGTGGAACTGGTACGATATTAGTTCATTATTAAAATCCCATTTTAAAAATGGTTTCCTTCCCAAGACTGCAAATCCATATTCAAAGGCAAATTGTAACAGAGAGAGCTAAACAAATCAGAAAGGGGAGACACTTGTACATTTTCCCAAAGTTTAACGTAACCATGAAAAATAGTTCAAAAGTATTTTAGCCATACCAAAATCTGCTTTCCAGATTTCTCTCCAAATAAATTTAGTGTTAAATATTCATAGTTTTAAGGCCCAAAGGGGCCATCAAATCATTTAATCTCACATGAGGTATAATTAAGGCCATACATTTTCATCAAAACTAAAGCTTATTTCCCAGAAGGCATCCAGTCTTGATTTAAAGACTTCAAGGAATGGAGAATCTGTCAGTTCTTTTGATAGTTTGTTTCTATGGCTAACAATTCTCTCAAAATCTGTGCCCTATTTCTCACTCGAATATGTCTGGCTTTAACTTTCATGTTCTTGTTATGCTTTTCTTTCCTATATTAAAAAGCTCTTTTGTACCTAGTATTTTCTCCCTGTGAAAGTACTTACGGTATCCCCAATCAAGTCATCTCTTGATCTTCTGATTAACTTCAGAGAATTCCAAGTCTCTCCCTGAAAGGTATTTTCTCCCATAATGTAGGTATAGCCTGCATTATTTGCTTCTATATATTGACTCTTAGAAAAAAACTAATGTTTGTTTGGTAAATTGAGCTGATTCAATCTAGAACTAGTGTGAACTACAGGAATATGTACTCTTACTGCCCTGCTGAGATCCTGCTGGCACAAACAAAAAGGGAATTAACTGCACATGAACATGACCTTTTGGTTCATGCCAATAAGGACTGTACAGAGCAGTTAGGGCATTCTGCAATTCACACCACTCTAGTTTGCACTATGGTACAGTGTAAAATATGTTGTTACTGCTCCATATGACCTCCCTTGTCCTCATTATTTACTACTCCGTCAAGTGTCATGCCCTGCGGAATCATGTAAGAAATATTTCCATTTGATGATTCCCCATTCACTGACACTCAGACTTATTAATTTACTGGTTGTTAATTTAAGGTGGGCTTGATATTGTATGATGCTTTTATTAAAAATCGAAGTTGTGCAGTTCTCTAAATCAAATACTTTATAAAATACTATAAACATTAAATCTAATTACCTTTATCCAACTTTTTATAGCTCATGAAAAAAAATGAAAATCAACTTTAATTAACAAAACCTATTTTCAATAAAACCATGTTGGCTAAAATTAACTATATTTCTATCCTCTATTTATTAAGCAATAGCTCAGATTTTCTTTTACTCTATATCTGCAAATGTCAGACCAACTGGCCTTTAATTGCCTAGGGTCATGCTGCTTGCCCTTCCTGAACACTGATACAGTACAATAGTAGTACATTTCTAGCCTACTGGGATTCACTAAACTTTCCAACATACAGTAAAATAGATCATCAATAAGACAGGTTTCTTTGGTCATTTTTCTAGGAGTATTGGATGCAAATTATCAAGACCTGCTAACTTGAAAGTTTCTCTCACAAATGTTGTTTAACATTCTCAGTTATTAGTGATTCTCCCTCATGCAACAAGTGTGTATTAATATTTAATTAGGAGAGTTAAGTATTTTAATATTTAAGAATAAAAAGGGTGAAACAAATCTAAGAGTGAAACAAATCTAAATGGTGTATGGAAATTCCTTGTAAAACTTAGTATATAAGGTTTCCCATTTGACCCCAATCACTACACAAGAAACTTGATGAAAACTTGAAGGTGAAAAGGGGGAAGTTTACTAACTTTTTATTTCTGCTTCTCGGAAGATATTCTGGCAGTATACTAACTCCTGAACTTTAGCTTCCTAGCACAAGATAGAAAGATCTCCCCATCCTTCCCACTGGTAGTCCTGCATCATCTTACAGCTTAATCATTCCCTTGCAACTGTCCCATCCTGACTTGAACATGCAATAAAAGAAAAATAAGCCTGTCCACTAACAAAACTATTTGAAATTTTACTGTTCCAGTGTGACAGAACAATAAACCCAGGTTTATTCACAAATAGTTCCCTTTCCAAACTCTGGGATAACATGATAGGGCAGAGCTACTCAACATGTGGCCCACAGCCCGTTTGTTTGCGGCCTGCGGTGTAGTTTGGGTTTATAGAAGGCTCAACACTTGGCACATGGGTGGGAGCCAAAACAAAAAAGTAGTCAATATAATGGTTTTCTGTTGATATGCGTTTTAGAAGTTAAATTCCTGGACTGTCATTGCTCATTAAAAGTGCTGTCATATTGGTAAATATTGCATTTTATTAATATCAGCAGAACTGACTTAAATGGGGCCTGTGTGTTCTGTAGTCTTGCCTTATCTTTGTATTCAAGCCTGTCAGTGTGAAAGAAGCTATTTGCATATATATTTGCATATATATGCAACCACACTTAAGTTGCAGCCCTCGACACGTGCTGAGAATATAATTGTGGCCCCCAGGGCTTACAATGTTGAGTAGCCCTGTGATAGAGTGACAGAAAACTACCAGGATGGCATCTTCAGAGGAAAAATAATCACAGATTTAATTTTCCCTTGTCTAAAGGTATCCAACTCAAGATTTTCAGCTAGTGGAAAGCAAGTTAATAAAGTCATGTCCTGAAAGAGGGGTTCACAACCTGGGGACTGCAATCATGCTAATGTGAGAGAGAGAGAGAGACACACACACACACAGACGGGGGAGAGGGCACCCTCGGTGACTCAGGTTGGTTCTGCAATGTAGAAGGATGTCAAGGTACAGAAACAGTCAAGGCATTCTGAAACTTGCTCCCCTCGCCCTCCTTGATCCAAAACAAACCAAATCTGGTGACCTGGCCACGCAACACAAACCAATTTTAGAAAAGAAGGAACAAATGATCTTGGAGACAAATGAGTAGAAGAAATTACACTTTAGTAGATAATTCAGTGGCAGGCTACGTTTAATTTGTTCCTTTTCAATGCTGCTTGGTGTATTACTCAGTTATAAAATGAAATATAAAACTACATAGGGAACTAAATAGTGACCATATTTTCAGAACCAAAAAATGGGAACATATGATATAAGGTACCTACCATCAATTGTTAGCCAGGCCTCTGACCCTTTAGGAGCTTCCCACCTGACACAAAGTCCTGCCCTTGGGGTAGGACTCCTGGGGTCAATATGAACACATGATCAGAAGTAAAGGGTGTCATGTGACCCCTCTAAGAACTCCTTCCACTGTCCTCTACCAAACAGGATGAGTTTGGTCCCCATAGGACTGCCCCGAGCGCGGATTTGATCTATCAGGAGGGAATTCTGGGGTGGAGTGAGCAGTCTGGAAGCAGGTCGTGTGACTCCCCTATGAACTCCTCTCACCACCCTCTAGCAATCGGGAAGGGTTTGGGCCGCAGAGGATTGCCCAGTCACCGCACAAAATTGACCATTGGTGTTGGCAGGACAGTGACTGAGTGGGATGGAAGTGCTGGGTCCTGGTGGAGGCAGTAAGTGAGCGGGCTAGGGTGTGGGGTGTTGGCAAGGTGGTGAGCAAGCGGTCTGGGGGTGCGGCGTGGGGAGGCCACTTGCTTTCCTGCAGCTTTCAGGCATGTTGCTGGATAGCTTCACGCCGGTCCCACTGGCCAAATTCCACTCACTGCCCTTTCCCTTCCACCAGTTGGGGGAACAGCCTCGCAGGGACACACTTCCTGGAGACATTCCACTTTGCTCCCATTGGCCAGAATCTGGGCAATGGGAACAAAGTGAAATGCCTCCAGGAAGTGCATCCTTGCAAGGCTATTCCCCCAACTGGTGGAAGGGAAAGGGCAGTGTGCGGAGCTATATCTGGCTCACTTCTTCCCCATAAGCTGGATCTGGAGGGGGGGCCCCCTCAGGGCTTTCTCCACCCTCCCACCCACATATTAGAATTTCCAGGACATTTCAATTCATTATGGGGACAAAGGGATAGTGTATTTAAAATCAGGATTGTTCCAGAAAATCTGGGACATATGGTTAGTGTACTTATAGTATAAGTACTCCAATAAACATGAGCAAGAAAGAGAGGGGAAACAGTTCAGCTCAGAGAAAGTGTATGGCTACAGTAGCGCATAACTACAACAGCTTCATTCTTTTGACATCTTTGTATAAGTGAATTGTGGTTAATATGTGACAAGCTAAGCAGTAGCTTCTCCCAAAACTAAGAGAAAATAAATTAACTAGACTAGGATTAGTATAGAGTAGTTTAAGTTTAGAGGATGATTTCCTGCCACAAAGTTGCCATCTAGGCAAGGTTCTCGTTTGGTTCTGGTTCCCTAGCTCAAGGCAGGAAAAATTTCTTTCTTTCCTCCTTGACTGCTCAGAAATAGGCAGTCACTCTCTTTGGGTACGTCTAAACTACATGCCTCTGTCGGCAGAGGCATGCAGATTTGTTTGTTCAGCAAAGGTAAATGAAGCCGCGATTTAAATGATCGCGGCTTCCTTTACATTTACATGGCTGCCGCGCTGAGCCGACAAACAGCTGATCAGCTGTTTGTCGGCTCAGCGCGGCAGCCATGTAAATGTAAAGGAAGCCGCGATCATTTAAATCGCGGCTTCATTTACCTTTGCTGAACAAACAAATCTGCATGCCTCTGCCGACAGAGGCATGTAGTTTAGACGTACCCAAAGAGAGTGACTGCCTATTTCTGAGCAGTCAAGGAGGAAAGAAAGAAATTTTTCCTGCCTTGAGCTAGGGAACCAGAACCAAACGAGAACCTTGCCTAGATGGCAACTTTGTGGCAGGAAATCATCCTCTAAACTTAAACTACTCTATACTAATCCTAGTCTAGTTAATTTATTTTCTCTTAGTTTTGGGAGAAGCTACTGCTTAGCTTGTCACATATTAACCACAATTCACTTATACAAAGATGTCAAAAGAATGAAGCTGTTGTAGTAGTAGAAATAATGGCACAACTGCTCCTTCAAGACGTAAACAGGCAATGGTAAGAAACGCCAGTGAATATAGCAAAAATAATGCTTCCTTCAGAATTACCTTTAAAAATAATCAGATACACCATGTTTACTGTGAAACTGAGGCAGGACAAGACAGCACAGCATACAGAATACAGGCTAAAGCTAATTTATGTATTAAACTTACTTGGCAGAAAATCTTGTGACATCTGAAGTAGAACCCGACGAAGATGTTACATATACACTGCTGATTGATCCCTGAGCCATCTCTGTAAAACAAAAGCAAAGTATATTCTTCTAATATATATTCAACAACATACAAACAATCTAATCTTACAACCTGACAAACTTGATTGGACACGACCAGTATTGGGCTCAGATTGGACTGAAGACAGCCTGATGCTTTGGGCTCAAGTCCTGTAGTCTCTGATCATCTGCCTGTAAGCTTTAGCACAGTGATGATTGTGTGCAGCACTCCTGCCCAAGGCTGGACCTCACTGCTTTTGTACACTGTGGAATGAGAAATGCTGTGAATTTGCAGCACATTCTCTGCTAGGGTTGCCAGGTAGACGCCACCAAAAAACCAGACACACTTGATCGTGGGTGGGGGGGGGAAGAATCAGTCTCTGATCATCTGCCTGTAAGCTTTAGCACAGTGATGATTGTGTGCAGCACTCCTGCCCAAGGCTGGACCTCACTGCTTTTGTACACTGTGGAATGAGAAATGCTGTGAATTTGCAGCACATTCTCTGCTAGGGTTGCCAGGTAGACGCCACCAAAAAACCAGACACACTTGATCGTGGGTGGGGGGGGGAAGAATCAG